CTAGGGGTAGGGTGAGTCCCTAGCTGCCTGCCCGAAACAAAGAGGAAGTGCTACGCCTGCTGGGAGGTCGCACGGTGCCACACAGAGAACCCTAAACCCTAAACCCTAAACCGTATGACTTGAGACAGCTACTCTTGGAATGAATGCTTGGACTTGAGATGCTGAACCCTAAACCCTAAACCGTGTGGCGGATAACAAAAACCTCCAACAACCAAGCAACCTGTATAATTTCAGAAACACTTTAAAGCATGCTTCTGGAAAAGCTGTGGGCAGATTCTACAGACAGGTTCTCGTACACATATTTATGCAGAGCATGACAGTTTCAATGCGATTGACCGTACTTCCAAGAACCTACATAGGCCAGGCCAATTTAGTAGATCTGAAATTTGTTGTCTCTCAAGGCTTGTGCAGGCCCCATCTCCGTCTCAAATCATCTTAATCGAGGCATCCTATGAGAAATTGAAACAAGCTGATTGCCAAGGATCCTAGCTGCATCAAAGGGTTAGAAGAGATTCGTGGATGTTCTTCTTGAAGATTCTGCACAAACAACACTGCATCGCTCAAGACATGTGCTGCATCATGCTGTAATTCCTCAGATCTGCAATCCAGTGGGGGATTCATTCGCTTCAATCAAATTTCGCCACAGCTTTTTCGCCTTGGCTGATAACTGATATTGCAGCTTGGGTCTCAGAATCTCTGGGACACCTGATTGAAAACATCAGGTAGGGGAGATGCCAACGAGTGTAGAGGCATATCTGCAAAAGTATGGCGAATTAGGCTTACGGCTTACGCATTGCTGTCCTGTGGCATCTCCCCATGAAGGCCCCGTAGATTCTATATCTCCACCATCCGCACCGTTTGTTTGAGTGAGACGGCGAAAACAGTGGAAAAAGGAGCGGGGAGTGCCTGTTTATTCCTGGGTAGCCCTGCAGGTTTGGCACTGTAAGCCCTAAACCCGATCGAATTAAAGTGCGTAGTTATTGAAATGTTGAAAGAACACTCGCCAAAGAATGTGGGAAATCACATCCACCTTTTTGTTTTGCATTCTTGAATTCCTTTCTGCCTGACGCTGGGTAGGAGGTCTGTGTTGAGGCTTGGGGGATCTGGGAGGTACAGACTTGAAGAAAAACGTAAGCATTCGAAAGCTGTCTCAGGCTCTCAAATTGCGGCAATGTGTCTGGCCAATACTTACGTGATTCTCTTTGCTGTCGGAATCCTCTGTTGCCCAACCGTATCACAGCTCCCATCGTGTTGCAACGTGCCGGCTTGTGCAGGAATATTCGTCCGCCCGCCCCAGTTTTAAATGTCCGGATTTATGTGTTGCATGTGAGCGTTCGGATCCGTGGTACGTACTGGGTTTAGAAGCGGCTGCTGGAAATATCTTCTCAGGCTACCCAGGAAGTAACCACAACTGCTATGCATCTAGCTCAGAGTCCTTCGTCTGGATGATTTCGTACACCTGCAATAGTACCCTGTCAGAAACGGAAGCTTCACCCTCCAATGCGTGCCAACATTCAAGCATGAATCTTGGAACTCGAGATGAACATCTCTCACAAGAAATGTAACTCAACTCAGCGAGGGACCCTTCTGCCATGGGTTCGGTTCACCACTCCCGCCCTGAAACCCATTCTCTAGCCAAAATCCATGCAGTGCTCACAGGTATGTTTCGCTTACAGCACAACTGTTGTTAACATGAAAGAAACATGGTAGTAGTAGTAGCAGCAAAACTAACAAACTACCACTAGTACCACTAATAGTAACTTTGCTGAAATGGCAAGACTAGTAGTAATACTCATAGCAATAGCAACAGAAACACTAATAGTAAGAGGAACAATAATCTTAGCGGTAATAACAGCAATCGAGAGAATACTGAGTAATGCTTGCTACGCTATTAAGCGTAACTAGAGTAAGACTAATAATCGCAATATTAAGAATCATGATATGAATAGCAATAGTCATACAATTGAAGGAGGCAATATTAGATCATCTACTATTCCAATATACTGAAACTACCGACATTGGGGCAAGATAGGATAGTGCAAGATTCCTCCATCGGCTAGAGTATTGGCAACATAAGTGCTTGTAGCACTGGCAATACATTAATGAAGGTGGTAAGTGGGCAAAACATTCGTAATAACAATCGTGTAGTCAGTCAACGCTTCGGGCAAGTCCTCAGGGAGCAGTAGAAGATTCTCACACAAGACCCTTTCAATTGCTTTGCAGGGCCGCTGACCCTTTGGTACTGCCCGCATATTCTTGGTAAGACTTCTCCATCTTTAGAGATCACTGGCGGAGTTGTGTGGTGACAAGGCCCATGCGTCCGAGAACAAAACTTGCGGGAGGCGGCTCAAGTTCAAAAATCTCTCAGGTTCACCATGGCCAGGCCGGACGCTCTGTCTGTGGCGCTTGGCCAAAGCCGAAAGGTAACACTTCTAAGTCTTTGACCAAGTCAACTCAGATGTGAAATCGTTGTTCCAAGGCGCTCGGCATCGTGTTGCAAGTGCAAACCTTCTGCCTTAGATGTTGGCACAGCAGATACCTTAACCCTGAACTCGTTTGACCCTGGATCGACCGTAAACTTTAAATTCTCCAGTTGAAAGGCTGTTAACTATCTCCACCAGGCCTTCAGCAGACAGTGAGTACTGTTTTGCCCATCGCCTTGCCCGACATCTGCAACTGCGTGGCTTGCTTGATCTCCTCTCAAGTCAAGACCCTGCCCCCTACAGAGCACTAAATTGTGGGTACATTTCCAAGACCGCAACAATATCCAGGCAATATGTATGACAAATACAAGGACGACATAAATTCTTGATGATGTGGCAGGGAGTGTTGAATAGTATGGGAAAAAGATTATACGGTTCGCGACTAGGTGACAACAAAACACGAGCATTATCCAGAATAGCTGTTAAGGATATTACCTGGCTATAAGTTGGGTTTCCCTACAAGCCTTTGAGAAGCTACCGCAGCACAAAAATGTTCCAGCGACAGGCTCCCAGGTCCCCCAGGGAACCCAGTACCCCTTACTTGGGAAGATACTGCGACGATACTATCGGAACCCTGCCCCACAACTGTCCCACGGTGAGCCCCATTTCAAAAGAGCGCGCTTTTGGGTTCAAGGTTTGCGTTCTTTACATTCGATTAATGGAAATCCCTGTCCCAACAACCCATATAACATCCTTAAGGGGACGCCATAATCCTCTCATGCCACTTCTCAAAACAGTCTGGATTTCGCCCAACACTGTAGCAAAGGCCTCATCTTCTGGGATCTTTGTAAAGGCAACCAAGAACCAGGTGACTAAGAGGCCAAAGTCTTTTCGAAGAATAATGAGGACTTGCAAGTTCCAACAACTCCCTAAGCCCTGAATTCTAACCCTGAACTGTGAAAGTCTCCTCTAGGCCATTGAGTTTTGTTGTTGCAGTGGTCTTGATGATGCCGCTGTCTGCTAATTTGGCACATGTTTCCATGACGCCACCAACTGTCTCAGGCTGGGCTTCGTTCATGCACCGCGCGAACCTCCAGGGCCCCCCCGCTACAGATGATGAGGTATGCCATGGGATGCCACTTTGCATAAACCCGAAATCCCAAGCCCTTAACCCTATGGGGCCTCTCACCGAAACCCCGAGAAGCAAGCTGCATCGAATCCTCAGGAAAGCCTCACGGTAAATGAGAATGACTATCTGCTGCTTAGTAGCATATGAAGGGACGAGACAGAACAGAAACTACGACATTTTTTTGAGGTTTCGGGAGTAGGATAGGCAAGGAGGGAATGGATCCAAATAGCAGTCGCTACATAATCCCCTAGAATCATGATATAGAACATAAAACCCATTCGCGAATCCCTTGCTAAGCACCAGGGAGATGAGGACGATGATCATGATGTTTCTAGTGGATGGTGATGCTGACCATTATCCCGACAAATCTGCCACCAAAGCTTGGCAAGGATGCTGCCCGCTACTGATTACGATAACAGTCGTCATTGCAACTTTGAGTGTTTGTTTGGCACGCCCCGCATCATCACGTTCACGAAGCTCTGCCGTCTCATCCACCTAGGGCGGAGTTGGAGCTGATGTACATGCAAGGCTAGTTTTCACAGGCCTGGTTCTTTTGGGGAGGAGCTGTTACCAACAAAGGGTCCAAGTCTTGGCCGAATAAGCCACAGCCGCATAGTCAGCAGGTCCACCGAGGCGAAATGCTCGTGGGTCGCATTGAAGGTGATTGCAACCTTGCCGTCCACGCTCAACCTTGACGGTATGGGGCGGGCTACGGTGTAGTTATGCAAGATGAAGCTGCAAAACCACCCATCACCCCTTTCACGGAAAACTTTTGATGAAACAGCATACACCCCCCAGCTCGACCAAGGGATGTTGAAGGACGCCATGACTATCACACGACTCTTGCTGTGGGTTACGAAAAACCCTTTATGAATGTTTTTGATTAAGCAAAGTAGCAGCTTAAATAGCTCTCCCAGGCGGTCGTTTTCGTGGCAGTTGAAGATGTAGTCCACGGAAGCGACGCCAACCTCCCCGCTGCTTTCTCCCTAACACATACTGAAGTCCAAACTGGGCTGTGTAGCGATTAGGTTTGGGGGTATACACTGCTCCAAATTAAGATGGCAGCCAGGAAGAAGCCCCATGTAAACAACTGTCCATTGTATTCTGGCTTTAGGAGTCAGCGCGCAGTATGAAATGTTAAGCACAACCCACCCCCTGACATTTAAACATTAAACTACACATTAGAGGTGTCATAAAAGGGACTTATTGAATATTGGGGAGGAGGGGATGTTTAATGTCTGTTGGGAAAGCATATTCCTGCGAAAGACACATGTTGGGTGTTGAAGCCTGAGCGAAAGGGACGCCAATCTGCTTCATCCGCACCTGTACATCGAGTACTTCTCCCACGCAGCAGTAGAATGTAGTCGGTTTGATACGCCTTGATACTACGGGGTGTTTACACCCGTGATATCCTTCTGACCCAACTGCTAGCGGACGGGTTCAATACCCAGCCCTGTACCCTCCAGCCTGCATCAAAAATCAAAAGCAGAAATTGGTTTGCACATACACCCTAGAATAAATGCAGATAAAAGAGCTGAGCATGAAATCGGTCCTTCAAAGGGGGTTCTCACACAAGTCAGGGGCTCTTAGACTTCGAGGGTCTTTCCTATGTAGAGGCACCTGGGAATCCAGCCAACAACAAAGAAAGATGGAAGCAGATATGGTCCTTTTTTGCAGTTCAGTAGTCTTTGTAGGGCCCTTTTGAGGCTTCCATATTAGTTTGGGGGAATGTACTTGGTTTTAGTCCCCAAGCCAGGTCTAGGGGAAGCCTTCGAGAGCTCGGAGGCCAAGTCTTCCCGGTGGTTGATTACGTGGTCCGCACCTCTTGCAGTCCATGGAGGCCATGACCAGAGTAGCTACGGTAATTCACCGTGATTAAGTCGATTTCCAGAGTCGATCCCTTGTCCACTCTATACATGATCCCACTCAAAGATCCCTATTGCCCATTCCCCTGTTCCCTGCGAAGCACCAGTGGGTCTACTAAGAGTCGGGCCCATCTTCTTGCACCATTCCACGGTTTCCGGGCGTGAGGCAGAGGCAACGACAGTGCGACCAAGATGCTTTCCCAGCTGGATGACGATGGAACCTTGCCAGCAACAGGTGTAGTAAACATACTATCAAAACAAAGCAGGCACGGTGAGGGATAACAATAATGAAAGGCAGGAGATTTCGAGCTTTAACACTTCACTATGGTTCTACTATGCACGATGCGATAGCTTTCGTGCTACTGTTGCTTGCCTTGCTGCAATTATATTTGGTAGTATGAATACTACTCTGCCGCGGCTGACGGCTTCAGAGACGAAGCTTGCACAGTTCTACCACTACCATCATCATCGTGTTGCTTTGTTCTATTCAGGAAGGCTGGTAGGTCCCTACTTGGTGCAGGCCTAAATCCTGGTCTCAAGCTTTCATCTAAGGTTGAGCTGAGAAACGCGGATTAGGAACATGCGCACATGCTTCATCTCAATATGATCCTGGCCTGCCTCCTAGAAACCTAGATATACTGCAGAGGCCAACGTCATGGGCCCAGTACACGGAGCCCATCCACCTTTTCCGATTAACTGCGGATAATGACTCTTTGCGTTGGTCTGCTGATCCCCCTGGCCTTTGGTAGCAGCACTAGCCTTCGTAGTACTGCGCATATCACGCTGGAACCCAAACTATGTCCGAAAGAGATCAACGTCTTCAGGACAAATTTGAGCTGCGGAGCCTAGGCCGCCCGCGCCGTTGAGGACAAAAAGGCTCTTACCCTTCTGTGCATTCATCCCCTCCTTGGCTGCATGCTGTCATCTCGTCGTAGACCCAGGAGCGCGAAGCATGCAGGGCTTTTCTTTTCTTGCCCCTGTAGCAAAATGTACTCTCCAGGAGGGCTTTTCCGAACAGCACAGCAAAAACTAGAATTTTCTGACTGCCGCCCATGTGGCTACCAACCCCTCCCAGGCCGTCTGGAAGGTCAGTGGAAGCGCAGCAGCATCCTCGAACGACATGCTGCTTGGCTTCTTGCTGATCAGGCGTGCATCGACGGCTGTGTACTGCGCGTAGCTTCCGGGTTTGGTGATGTCGCCGGCGAACCACACCTTTCACAAAGGCAGTGTTGCTGTGTGTTGAGTGAATGTCATTGGTACTACGCCGGCCTGCAAATTTGAAGCTTACAATGGAGGCTTCGCTTGTGAGATCTATGTCTGCCTCCTGGAATTGCCGCATTTTGGGTTCTCTAACACTTTGGAATACAAACCTGAAGTTATGAGGATTCGAAACCCTGGTGCACGGCAACGACAGGATTTACGTGGCTTGCTCGTGTGAAGTATGGGACAAATGGACATGACTTGCCATGTCGAAGCTCTACGATGCCTTGATGACTCCTCGCTGTTCGCCCCAGTGCGGATCTTCGGATTCTAAGCACAAACGGGACTTTCTCTGATGCTGCAACTATCCCTGGGCCCTCAGGAGAAAGACATTTGCGCGTCTCTCAATATCTCGCCTATGTCATCAGAAGGACCCCGCAAAGCCCTTTACATACACCCGAGGTCTCAGCAGCCAAGGGTACCTCCATGTTCCTAAACCTCCCAGTTGCATGTTGGGTCTCACGCGATAGCTTCCAAAGAGAAATGCAGGGCCATAGCAGCCATACCCCATGCATTGGAGCAGCCACGCAAACGGGTCCTGATGTCTTGAAACTCCCATGTAGAGACTTAACGCTGCTGCAGTAAGGGTCACCGCAAGATTCCTCAACGTAGTTCGCGTGTGATACTTCACTACAGGAGCGGACAACAAGACAGCAGGTCCCAATCAAAGAATCTGCAAGAAGAAGGTGGGCCATGAAGTGCTATATATACATATATAAGCTGGCATACGGATCCTGAGACTACCCCCACGAAATGGATTCCCTTGGCCCCTATGAAGTCTCTCAATCCTGAATCCTGCTCTCATGGTCATGGGGGTCAGCATGCTTGTGGCAGTCAAGTCCCGCGGTCCCTTCTTTCAGGCGTGGCTTCCGACGATTGATGGATAACATCCTGCGTGTCCCTCAATGTACCATACTACTGTATTTCCCAGAGCTTGTGTGGATAAGGTCGTGCGTGCTACCATAATCCCCGCAGTTTATGTACATATTGCAACGCAAGTTCCTGTTCATCAGCAGCAGGCAGGCCGCAGGAAGCACAACAAACTCAATCCGGAGCCTAAGGCCTGAGCTGTATGCCCGTGTATGCCCGCAATTAGCAGCCCCTTGACCCACCCCGAAAGCCCAAAGCCTCGTCTCCCACCTTGAAAGATGAAACGCCGTCTCCCAGGGCCTTGAGCACCCATGTGTTTGAGACATGCAGGTTTACCAGTTGTTAGGGAGCTCTATTTCAACCCGCACATTGATTAAAAGCACGTGGCAGCCCATAACAGTTTAGGGAACAGCTTTGTCGACAAGGCTCATTACTCTAGCAACTAGGAGGCTCAGTGCATTGAAGGACTTTTGGTCTCAGGCTTAAGGCAGCAAAGCTAGTGATAGAAAGCAATGGCTCAGGCTTTGCATGGATTACACCCATGGGAACCCGAAGTAATGTGGACAGCTTGGCATGCTCCCAAAGTATGTAGGATTCCCGGTTTTGCTCCCGAAAGCAGAGGCTGCAAGCATGAAAGTGCTGAACGGTTTGGCTTGCTCTGCTACTTCTCTTTGCTGCCGAAACAATGCCATTGTGCATTTTGCTTCCATAGATTGTCTTTTGAAGGTCCCGCCCCGAGATCCAGTCTAAGCCATCATGGGGCCAGGATGAAGCCTGGCAAGTTCAACACAGCGTACGCATGCAAGGAAATGTCATCTGCACCTTCTGTCAAATTTACACACACTTGGCATTCCGATGACTTGGAAGAATACAAGGACTAGTAGTAGTATAGTGTACTCAACTTACTTACCTCTATGCAATGACTAGAAAACCTGATTTGAATTAATACAGCTGTCGCGTGCGATCTTGTTTCAAACCCTCACCCACCTCGATCACCCCCGCGGAATCCCAGCCAACAATGGTTGGCTGGTCCGGTGCCTGACAATCTTCAGGAGACCCAGTTGGTTCAGGATGTTGATTCTTGGTGCTCCTTGCAAATGCCTGTCTATACGGACCTCCGATTTTGATGAACTTGAAAGCAAGGTGCTGGATCAGGCGAAAGGAATGTCATGCTCATATGTCAAACCATTGGAGCAACGTATGCTGGACTGAGTCTGCTTCTTACCAAGCTGGGAACTTACTTTAATACAAACGTCGAAATGACACCCTGGAACTAACCGTAGCTATCCCAGCCAGGAAAATGTAGCACAAATATGAAAACCAACCACCCGGAAAATGCGGAACATATGTGAAGGCCGAAAGCTTGCAGTTTCTCTGCCTGAGGCGTTTGCAGCCATATTGGTTTCCATATGTTTCGCATGTTTTTCCATACTTTCGCCATATTTTTCCGTATGTCCAGAGGAAGCAAATACATAAAACCCGTGGAAAATATTGAACATATGAAATGCTGGAAAAAGGAGGGGAAAGTAGCCTTGCGGGGGCCGAGAATCCTGCGAATATTGTTTAGCACATTGAGCCTATTGTGGGACTCAAATTTCTTATTCTGGGGGCCATGCTTTAAACATATTTCTTCCACAGCACGAGATAATTGGGGTACAGTGGCTATCTGGCTGAGTATCACGTCTTAACCCTATGTGCACCTACAAATAAAAACGCGACCAAGAGCGGGCTGACAAAGAGTTCATATTAGTGGAAACACAGTATGGGTCGGCTTATAGGCGAAAAAATAGACAGATAAACAAGATATGACAATTTGGTGTACTCGTTCAGATACTGCTCCCACCAGGACAACGATTGCCACCACGGTCATGACAATAACTATTAGGACGACGACGACCACCTGACGGCGGCGACGACGACTACTGCTACCACCACCACCACCACCACCTCCTCCTCCTCCTCCGCATCGAGCAGATTCGAACTCCCACACGGCTGAGGTGCAGACCCATCTGCTTCATCATCGCCGGATCGAGACCTTGCTTTCTGAAGCACAGGATGTGCGGCGCTTGGGCGACTGCAAACCCTTGCTAGATCAGAAGTGAACAACTCTTGAACCTTACAACCCCCTCAAACCAACCAATGACGGACAATGAGAATCAACAGGTCCAACCCGGCATGCATAAACGTGGCGTGCTACCCATCTGCTTCATCATGTTCTCCATCTCGCTTGTGCCTCGCTCGAGTTGCAAATGGGAGGGGGGGGCAAGAGTGGGAGAGGATGGCAATGATCACACTCCAGGGTTTGAGTATGCCGTAGTTTTGCTCCAAAGCTGACTGACCCTGCAAGAAGCATGCGCTTGTCTTCCCCCTCCATCATCAGAGACTTGCAAGCCTAGAGAACTAACCTAGTTGCGACGGCTGAATACAACCCTTCAACCACCAAATACCGAGCTAGAAACACTTCACAGTGCGATCGTCCAGGGGTCAACGTAGGAGAACACTTCAGAGTCTGAAAGCCAGCCCGTAACCCTGCATGAGAAATTTCGAGTTGAAGCTACTGCCCATCGGTCACAAACAAAATGTGGATGTGCGTGATGGTAAATAGCTCCTACAACAATCCCTCTTCAATCCCAAAAGAGTATCCCTGCAATCTCATTATAGTCCCTACATACTTTTGAGGTCCCTAGGGTTGCCAAGGCTCCGTTTTTTTTGTTCAGGGTCATTGTCGACTTTTATCGGCCCCTTGTCGGGGCCCATGGCCACTATGGAACGTGGTTTCCCTCATAGTTTCCCTTAGTAATCTAGGAACCCAAATACTTTCCCCTTTAGATAATCCCCGACAAATGTCTATCCTCCTCATGCTGGGCCCAAGGCTTGCCCCACATGGCGGGTTGCAAGAATCCGGTGTAGTGCTTAGTGTAGAAAATATTGCGCTAGGCGAACCTTTCTACTGACCTCAAAAACAAGGAGTCTCAACAACTGTCAACAAATTCAAGTACGGAAATATCCCAACGCCAACCTGATATGCCCGAGGTCAGGACTGGAGGACTTCTTCTCACCTCCACCTCCGCCCTCCATTTCTCCCAACCTCAACCGCAGATGTCTGCATGTTCTGCGCAGTTTCTGGAAAGCTCCGCGAGACTGCTGCCAGCAAGGTTCCCGCGCCTTTCCGAGGTCTACAACTCTCTGATTTTATCTTTTCATGCTCAGCACCCACTGGACGACGAAGAGCTTGAAAATGTTTCAATCCTCCCCATGCAAACATGGAAACCCCAAACAGGCCGTCTGAAGATAATTGTACGGTCAACCTGGGCTGTAGGGGGGGTTCGATTATAGCTTGCGGGAGGGCAAAACCCTCCTGAGCCAAATTGAAATCTGTTTCGGGAACTCAGATTAACAGCGTTCGGGATTTGAGGTTTGGGCATGTAACGTGTTTTCTCAACTGCTAGCATTGTAGAACTACACTTGGCAGGTTCAAACCCTTTACGACCATCTGCATGAAGCTCAAGTTGGCAAGGCCGTCCCCGTAAATGGGCAGTGTTGCAAGTCCCAAGACTCCCAACCCCCAATCTCAAGCCCAGAACCCCCAGGTTGCCCTAAATGCTTCAGCACTCACAGACCTCCCCCTGGTCGAAGACTCATGGAACCTAAAATCAGCCTCTTGGGGCTCTCACTCAATAAATGTTCACAAGCTTCATCATAAGCGCAGGAGTTAGACCCACACTGACTTAGAGGGTCTGACGGGCTGTCCACCAGCTTCGAATGGCTTCCCACACCCTCAAAAACCCCAAGAACACCCCAGACCCTGAACCCTCGATGTTGCCACATAGAACGAGCTTCAGGCTTGGAGGCCATTTCCAGATACTGCTGAGACCTGGGTCTCTGAACTTCGCGGCCAGAACCAAGGGACTAATGACTCAGGCTGAGAGCTTGAAACATCCAGCACTACTAGGTGTCCATAAGCTTATTGAGGCTCAATATATGGACATGAG